GGAGAACAATTTTCACTCAGTAAACGCGCTATAAGAATATATATTAATAGAAAAACAACCCTTGTAACAGCAATTGGTATCTAAGCCTCCTAGATGTCTGAATATCTTGCTCGTGGAGCTTCCGATATAAGCCCATTCGCTTCCTCGTGAAAAATAGGTCTAAGTTGAGCTTGTTTGAACCTAGGATGAGCTGCACGAGCTTGTGAGTGCCACTGAAGATCTCTATTTTTAGCGGAAAAATGAAAGTCTCGGGAGCGTAGAACGCTTTTACGGCCATGAAACAATGATCCCACAGCTTGGACCCATTTTTAGCGCAGTTAAATACGGATGATGTGATGGGAGCTGCGCGATCAGTGGTTCAAAAGTTATGACCCGAACCAATAACAAGCTCAAAAAGAAGTCCAAACAGGCAAAGTTGCTTCAGTTGGCTTTTAAGATAACAATGCTTCCTGGTTCAGCTTCAGCGATAAGCCCATTTGCTTCGCGAAAAGTAGGTCATAACCAACCTTAGTATTTCGCTAGTTTTATTCTTAACTTCAGTTTTTCAAAAAGTTTCTTTTGGTTAAACTTGGAAATGGCAAATCTCCTAAAATAAAATTGAAATTCGAAATAAAATGAAACGTTGGCTCTAGGCTTACCAGTTATGTATTAGCTCGTACAGGCAAAAGGCAATAACGCACCTGATGGAAATGCAAATCTGGCATTTAAAAAAATACGTTTTAATCATAATTGGACTAGAGAAAAAACTCTAAGGTAAGCTATATTTCTTATAAAAGAAAATTTTTTCAGAAATTATGATAACTAAAAGTTATGCATTGCTGTACCAAGGATAAGCTCAAATTTCTCTTGTTTCTCAAAGAAGTCAATTTTCTCAAAGGAGTCAAAGGATTAGCTCAAATTTCTCTTGTTCTTTTTGTATGTTTTCATCTAGACCTAAGCTCAGTTGATCTGATAATTTGGTTTTTCTTTGTTTCATCTAAAATTAAACCCAGCAGAAGTGATAAATCGGATTATTTGAAAACGTTTGATATTGCTTGGCAGGGTTTTTTTGCACAAGTTTCAAGGAGTACTTTTTGAGTTTTCAAAATTTTTCCCCCTCTTGGAGCAAAAAACGTGACAGGCGAATCGTATTTGTTTGATTGTGTCTAGCTGCCCGTACCTAAAAATTTTTCTTAAACAGATCTGAAATAATCTTTTTCAGATCTAAATTTCAGATCTGAAATAGGTTGTGAATGTTTAGATAACGCTTGGATACTCTAAGGACTGGTTATTTCAGATCTAATTGCAGGTCTGAAGTTTTCTTTTTCTTGGTTATTTCAGATCTGAAAAAATCTATTTCAGATCTAATTTCAGAATTGAAATTTAGTTTTTCTTCGTGATTTCAGATCTGAAAAATCATTGATTCCGACTCATTTTTAGCTATTTTTAATTTTTTTTAGCTAGTTGCTAGTAGGTGTTCAGCAAAGTCTCAGTTGGAGACTGACGAAGTATGTTTCCCCAAGCGTGAGATAAACATTGGAAACGCAAAAGTAGCGCATGTAGATCACAAATGTTATTTCTTCAAACAGTTGTTGAAAATTTTTTTAACACAGTTGAACAAGAAAGTTAGTTAAAAAAAACTATTTGGGAACATAATCGGAAGTTTTTCTGACCGATAGTTTATCCAAACATTATTGTGTATTGCAGAAACATAAAAAAAAACCATGTTTTGCTCGAAATGCAAAAATATAATTTAACAAAGGATTTCTCAGATCTGACTTCAGATCTGAAATTTTGTTTTTCAAGGATTTTCAGATCTGAAATTTTCCATATCAGATCCAAATTTCACATCTGAAATTTGTAAATTCTTATCACAATCTGAAACTAAGAATTTCAGATCTGAGAATCAACTTTTGTAAAAAAAATAAAGAATTTCAGATCTTGCATGGAAATTCCCCTGGGTACGTGTGCAATTCTAAATGGCTGGTTGGTACTTTATTTAAAATTATTTTGTTTAAAAAAGTTGATGAAGCCACTAGCAGTGCGAGTTGTGATAGTTATATAGAAAATTATGCCGCCATTTACTTTGAATTGCTCTCCAAATAATCATTTTCTCCTTTATCTAAGGTTTGTTTTGTGCTTTTCACCTAATTAAGCGCAGCTGCTCTGATTTTCTAGGAGAAACTTGTGTTACTTAGAAAGAAATTTAATCTCGAAATGTTACATATTTTGAAATTTTAATTTTGTTTCAAAAATTTTAGCTTCTCCATTGACAAAGAAATTAACAAAAAAACTGACATACTTTTTCAGCATCGGTATTCAGCGTTCTGGCTAATGCAAAATTGGGTAAATTGAGAATTTTTTTCAACCTAAAAAGTTGCAGGGTTGATATCGAAGTAAAATTTAATCTCAGAAATTTGTTAGTTTTTTATAGTTTTGTCTCGTTATAATCTTTCCCCATAAATAGTATTTTCCACTCAAAAAACAATTTTGAAGCTGTACACATTCCTGAAATAGAAACGCGGAAGAAAAAAAATGCTTCCAATAATTTCTTGTATCTCGAGTGCAAGTTCAAGCAAAATTTCAAACAAGTGAGAATCAATCCTGAACGAACAAGAAGCACTGGACTTGAATACTGATGATAGGATCGAAGATAGATACAAGACTTCTTTTATTCAAAAAAGAACCAATCTCTGCTGAAAAGGGATACGAATCAGACAACCGAAAAAGTACCGATCGCTTTTGTCTTCGTAGACAGACAAAATGTGTCAAACTTTTTCATTTAAAACGGATTACTTTTCTCGCAAGCTGCCCATTACTTTGCCCATATTATAATGCACTTAGAATGCACCCCGCTGAAATATGATAGGATGGCAAAATGGCATCCTTCGACAGCATACGTAATCCTAGTAGTCAAAATCATAGCGGCATCTCGCTAGTTCCGAAGAGAGGGTGAGAATTAAACTCACGGTTTGGTACTATGCTTATATTAGTAGAGCCACAGGGGCACATCTCGTCAAATCTTCTATTTGTTTTTGGGGTTGTAAGCAGCTTCTGTCGCATACATTCTAAAATCTTTTGAATGATCGAATCATAGGACTCGCCGATTTTTTTGAATGAAAGAGAAAACAGCATTTGTAAGGCCAACGATATCTAGTGCTCGTGATTTGATTCGTGGGTCACTTTGAGACCAGTTCATTGATTTTTCTCATAAAAGTCTGAGTGATGAAAAAACAACCTCATAATTGCGCTCCAGGATGCTCTTGGTAATGAGTGAAGAAAGCTTGCTCAAAATCTAACAAAGTTTTTTTTCAGGCCTGCAGTTTGATGCTCAGTCAACAAAATCCTGCAAAAACTGATTGAATTTTTTTTACCTGTTTTGTTCCAAAAAAGGCGTAATTGCAAGCTGTTGCTATACCAGATACACTCTTTTGATATGATTGTACCTGATAGAAGATGTTAGAAGTAATTTTAAAAGATCCATCGGCTGACTAGAAAATTGATTTTTTCAAATACACCCAGCACTTCGGAATCACCACACAAAAATGATGTCTCGTGCTCAGTTGATTCACCGTTGAACAAAAATTGTCTAAAAGTTCAAGAATTTGGAAATTTCGTCCTACGGGGATGGTTGGCATACTTACATCTAGCTGCTTGCGTGCGCATTTTGAATCAGTTTGCCTTAAGTTTCGAGAAAATGACTGTTTCGAGTGCAAAAATTGTGGATTTATCATTCGTTACTGGCAAAACCGCCCTGGCATTTGCAACGATCGGTGCAAACTTCTGACTGACTCATTTAAATTGCTTTGCTTGAAGATAATTCGAGCGTGTGATTTTCTTGTTGAAATGTCATGATTGTGATCCCCACACGTTCTCAATCAATTCTTTGTTTTCTGTTATAACAGATGTTCGACATTTTTGTTTGGTGTTTTGAGCAAATCCAGTTTTTAATAAATTTATTCTTCTACTTGAAATAGATGGTTGGTGTCCCGACACTATATCGACACTATATGAATTTGTTTGTATTTCCATGAGGTTTTCAAGTAATTTACAAAGCACCATTTTTGCAGTTATAATTGAGATAAGCATTATTTTTTGTGTTAAATTTCAAATGGAGTTAAATTGCGGGGAATTGAAATTATTTGGTAGTGAATTGACTGGAGTGTAAAATTTATGGTGTTCAAGTGGTTGTTCTTCATATGTTCTTCATTTGCACCAGGAATTTTTGGCCTAGGTTCTTACAAGGTAGATTACGAGCCAAACTAGCTTTTCAATTGTTGTCGCAGATTCTACAAAAAGGTTGAAAGTTCGTTTAAAATGCTCATTTCTCATTGGCTAAGAATTCCTACCACTGAAACTAAATTAACATTGTTGCCTCGAAGCCGCTATCATCATGCTTTTTTTTGTTCGAAGCCTCATTGATGATACTTTTTTAGTTCTCACTTAGAATCATAAAAGCATAATCATGGCGGCTTCGGGGCAACAATGTGTATTTGCTTTTCAGAAAACTGATTTCGCTGGAGTACATTTTTAGAGGGTTTTCAGGGCTTAAAGTAGTTTTTCACTGCATATCCGACTGTAATAACCTCGATCACTTGCTCTAAAATTATCTAGAAAAAATGAGTTTTTTATTGAAAAAATTTTAGATTTTGATTGGGTTTTGAGTTGTAACAACAATTGTTTTGAGCCAATAATATTTTTTCTGGGCTGTTTTGTTACTGTACCTTAAACGCAGAAAAACTTTTTGGAACAAAACATTGTTTTTGTGTATTGCTGTGGTCAGAACCTTCTGTGATACTTGCGCAAGAACCGCCTATCGCTATTGTGAGAGCCAATTTGAAAGAAAAACCAATTACTTTTGGTTCATTGAGGTTCATATAAAATCTCTGAACTCACCACGCTTCTGATTTTGTTTACAAAATGTGCGTTTCAATGGTTTTTGGCTATTTTATTCAGTCATTTCTATAATTAAGTGGCGTCTAATGCCACTTTCAACATTCGACAAGTCCTGTTTTAAACAGCAAAAAATTGGCAAATCATTGTGAACAAAGACTGTTTTACGCGCAGAGTAACTAGTCAATATTTTTTGGACTGTTTGATATAAACCGTCGTAAACTGCTGTTTAATGATAGAAACAAAATGTCCCATTTTTGAAAGTCTCTATCTTTTTTATAAATCTGCTGCATGCTGATCATCATTTCGAAAAGAAAATGAGGAGAACTTGGCGCCTGGAGGCGTCGCATTTGCTCTTGATTGGTCTTTATGCTGTAGTAGTCAATGCAGATGGTCCAGGTAATTTTATCACTATTTTAAAGTTTTTAGACCTTGATAGGACAATTTAATTATACTATCTCATTATTTTTGTTCCGACCATTGAAAATGGGTAGGAACCTCGAAATCGACTGTGTTTTAGTTTTTCATTTTCTTGTTTTCCACTCAAAATCAGGTACCACAAATAATCATTGGACGGGGTGTCGGTTTCTTCTTTTAATTTCTTCTTTTTCTTTCGTCAAGAAAGATATGGAAGTACAGACTTAGATAAAGTTGCTGATTAATTGAAAGTAAGCCTTGAATTTTTTTCAATGAAAGTAAGCTTTGATTTTAGCCCTGAAAAATCTAGTGAATTAACAATACGAGGCCAACTAGGGAGCGTCTTTGTTGCGGAGTCCGCTTACAAATAAAAAAACACGCATCTTGGCCTCGTAAGAGAAGTTTATCTAGTAAATTTAATTAAATTACCGTCAATTTTTTTTGAATTAAAAAAAAGGTTCAAAAAAATTGATTCTGTATGTTGGTTTTTTAAAAAAAAAGTTGGTTTTTTTTGCATTAGACATTTTCAAAGAAATTTTTTTTTAAAAGGCCTCTTTACTATGAATATTGTAAATGTCCAAAATGTAGTCTTCGTTCAGCTCCTTTCATCACAACTCGTACAAGAAACTGAAGTATTTTCCAACAGTAGTTCTTAGAGAATATGGTTGGAGCATTTTGTGCTTCTTTTTTAAATTATCGAGCGGCGTAGTGTATTAAAATGAATCCTAATTTTTTTCTTTACTTGCTTTAAAAGTGTTAACTTGGCTCGTAAATAAAAGTGTTCATTAAGAGTGTGCACTGATTTTGTGGCAATTTTGCCGTAATCACAATCTGTAGCATTGGAAACTCCATAGCATCTGTTTTCTGCTTTTTTGTGGCTAGTGGTTTTGAGTCATTAGCCGACCGTGGCTGATTGGTTAGCTTGAAAACCAAAAATTCTAGGTCACAGTAGGTCGGAAATCGAATCGAGACTAGCCGCACTTGGTCAGGGTTTCCAATCTATCAAAATCCAATTTATACAGAAAAAAAATTAATTGTATTCCGTAGCAATTGCGATGCCAAATCTTAACAGTTTGGCTATTTTACGTGGTTTTTTTTAAAATTAAATTAACTATAAATCGAATTTTCTTAACTGAACTAAGTAACCCAATGGGTTCTATTAAAATAGTTTGGGGTCAAAATGATAGTTTTTACCGCGCTTAAATATATTAGAATTTAAAAACAAAAAAATCAGGGCAAGCTAATTGGTCGAAAGTAAAAATAATTTAGAACCATGTTTTTGCGATGGCTCAAATAGGAGCGGATTTAGCGTGGTGGTAAGAAGAGTGACCTTTGTAGTAATAAGAACATAGCTGAAAGATGCACGAGGGAAAAAGAGCCCGGCCTGAGGGCACGAAGTGCCAGATGGCGGCTCTTTTGCCCGAGGCCATCTTCAACTATGTTCTAACTGTTGAAGAGTATGTTTTTTGCTGTTTTGCCCGAGGCCATCTTCAACTATGTTCTAATTGTTGAAGAGTATGTTTTTGCTCTTTCTGTTTGTTTTGCTCTTTCAGTTGTTATAATCGGGCTTCTTTCAAAAAAAGAGCCCGGAAAATTATGAAAAGTGCGCGAAACTATGCAAATGATTTCTTTTTTCATTCATGCGTTCCAATATTTCGTTTTTCATTCATGCCCTGTCGTGAAAGAACACGTGTGAAAGAGCAAAAACATACTCTCCGAGCTACAGATAGAAGTTTTGTAAATATGGTCTCTTGTTTGCTCATTGTTCCGACTTTCGATACGAAAGTAACGGAATATTTGTGCTCGGGTGGGGTTTTTTTTCTTCAGACAACTTTCGACTTTTTAACTAGCCATTTTTGTCGGAATTTTTCAAATATCATTCAAAAGGTATTGTTGCTCTGAGCTTAAATTTGAAAAGATATTTTACCTGTGATCATTTTTCGTAAAGTTATGGGGGTTTAAGATTGGCAATTTGGCGCGATATATTTCGCGCTATTAAAGCGTAAGCGGAGATCCGATCCGTCTAATAAATCGTTCCAAATTGGTTGAAGGAAGCTCATGTGCCATAATTGATTCGTTACTAGAAGCGAAATTTATCACTTTGTACATTATATGGCGTGTGGGGGGATAATTTTCACAAAAAATCTCATATTTAAAAAAAAATTTCAATTTATTTTTATTTTCTTTACAGTAAGTTTTTTCCAGTTATTACTGCTTCATAGACATTAAAAGGCAGTTGAAACATTCAGGGCTTCGCCCTGATACGAGCAGTCTTGTTTTCTTTGAGCTATGTTTGCTTCTGATATGGCAAAAATGGTACTTTTCCATTGCGATGATTCAGTGCTGTTACAGTGCAGTGATTTTAATCTCAAATCTGACTTCTGAACAGAATTAAATTAGCCTTGTAAGAATCTGATGCAGTACTGTAATTCTACTGAAACGTCACGGAAAACAAGTTGCACGTTGGGATCCATTTAAAAATTAACAGCCTTTTCTTTGTTTTATGCGCGAAGTAAATACAAATATAATGGGTTTTTACAATATAGAGACCTGTACAAAGATTTAGTAGTTTAAAATGGTTGTAAGTTTTGCATCTGTTAGCAGCATTTTGACCTTTAAGTTTTTTTTAAATCATTGTCACTAAGATGCGTTATTTAGAACGAACACTGGAAACTTTAAACTTGAAAAGATCTGAGGTTTAGACAGTGAACGAAGTACTGGACAAAAAAAACCTTGTTTATAGGTTGAGTCAAATCAATTATCTTCTGTTTCTGTGAGCGTAGATTTCTCAACGAACTTTAATTGAAGAATTTATTAGGTGTTAAATTCGTGCAGTCTGTCTAACTTTTTTGCAGTTAGACAAGTTTTACAGCTTTTCAAACAATTATTATCCAACTCATACTTATAATATACCTTTTGAAGGTTTTTCAGTAGGGATAAGATGTTATATATCGAGCTCTGCTGCTCCCCCTTTCTCTTGTCTCGGCTGTATTTCTTCGACTTCAGTCTCAACTCGCAAGATGGTAATTAAAATCAGGATAACGAATAATTATTCAAAATAAAAAGCCTATAGCATGGAAAGAATATATTCTCACCGCTATCAAGATTTTGGACTGCGAGTATTCTAATTAATTGCTTCTCGCAGTTCAAAATGTTGGTGCTATCTTATCAAGTGAATCCTTTCCTATTACAGAATTCCTAAATTCAGATTTGTTCCTTATTTTTTTTTACACTAAGTTTTGATTAAAGTCATTCCTTCTCAATCCTGGCATCCATTTACTTTACTCCTCCGCTTATGCTCTACAACTCCACCCCTCCCCTGTTAGCACTGAGAAGTACCATATTCGGTTTCTTAAATCAATTTCATAACGCTTATAAGTTATGGGTTATGGGGTAAGGGGTAGGTGTCACAATTAGACGCAACCAAACAAATGTCAAACGAGTCTAATCAATTAGTTCCTGACATCCATGAACTCTAGCCTCCGACTTCAATGCAACCTCCAAATGCTGCTATGCCTGCTCCGGGAGCCTTTGGATTTCTCAATTTTAATTATGCCGTAAAAGTTTCCGTCCACCCAGAGTAGGAAAAGACCTTTTTCGTGGGTAGCTAAATCGTTTCAAGCATCTACAATTCCCATCTATTTTCTATTCTTATCTCAGCCATCTAGCTTCTAGAATAAGGATCACATTAGGCTAAAAGTCATATCCGGGGAGCCCAGTCACTTTCCCGTTCAATCACGGTTTACACGAGACTTACTTCCCATGCCGCGCTCCTTTTACTGCCAATTTTTTCTATGACTTTTTCTTCGGTCTAGTTGAGTTGCAATTAAAAGCTAAACTCTCATAACTGAGCTCAAACCAAAGATTACCAGGCCGATTTTTTTTTATTCTACTACTCCAACATTATGGACAAATATCAAGATATTTCCGTAGGCACCAAGGTTAATTATGTACACCTCACAGATAGTTTTCATCCACTATTGACCCCACTAAATGATCTCAATCTATTCTCAGTATTTTTTTCAAAGAGATAGGTCACGTTCCGGTTCCGTGTTAATTCTCGTGTTTTCTATGTAGTTTTGGGGCCTAAGCGCCAAAAGGTCACTTGAAAGTCAACTCGGGGTCACCCGTGATCAGTCTCTCATCTTTAGGTTTCAAATCTTAAGAGGATACTACCTACTGATTTTTGTCAGTATACGATTAATACTTCAGGAGTTACCCATTTCGAAGGTCCATCATCATTTTTTTGCGGGAATTGGTTATTACACCGGAAGGGTTTGGTTTACTAGGATTCTTTTCCGGCGGCGCGGTGTAGTATCTATTGCCGCTAAAAAATCAGTATGCACCGCTCCTTATTTGGGTAAATTACCTATTTTCGGTCTAAAAGGGTGCTTTTTCAGAAGCTGATAGCTTCGGAGCCAACCTTTGGAAAAAGATCAAATTATAAAAACATAATGTATCTTGCCATTACCTATTATGCCTTCAAGTTTAAGCTTCCTACGATGTAATGGGGGCGAGAAATAATAATCGAAACTTTGTGGTGCGTCTGTTTTCTAAGGGCATAAAACTGGAAGTGTGTCTGGAGCTCCCGTTTTAAGCTTTCTTCGACTAGGTCTATAACACACTAAGTTTTGGGGCCTTTGCAACCACTAATTGCCGAGCTCTGAAAGTGGCTTTTACACTTCGGCGAACCGTTGTAGCCAGCCCCAGGGGAGTCTGTGGGCTCCGGTTTTATGCGTGCCCGGGTCAAATTACCTCCAGAACCGCTTCTCTGGGTTGCATAGTGTTAGTCCCAGCGGTTCTCAATCTGGGTGGTTGTCCGCCGATTTTGTTCCGTCTTTGTTTTTTGGCTTCAGATCGACCAATTTTTCCAATTTTGGTCTAGCCTAGGCATAACTCATTGTTTACCTATCTACTTTTCAATTTGAGTAATCAATAACCAGCTATGTATTATCAATAACGTTACTAGACGGCATGCAATT